GTATCTGGATATGTGCTGAGACAGATGTACATCATCTTATAAAACCAAGGCCTCATTCCACTATGATTTAAAGAAAACTGCAGATCGGGTTATATGATCGCCATTCCTGCTTGAAACTGGTTCTGATCTTGTGTGACCTATGGGTGCTATAATATATATATATATATATATATATATAGACCAAATATGTGATCCATTGTTTTTACAACTACTTGCCAGCATGCTGGGCAAACAGGACGACAACAGCTCAGCGAGACAAGTAGTTGCAAAACCAATGGATTGAATCTTCTATCAATGATTTTTTAAATTTAGTTCCCAAGCCGGGTTGCTCAAACGGGTAATGGTGTACTTTTGAGCAGCCTGCTAAAGTCACCCCGCTCAGTGTCTATAATGGCCCCGTCCTCACCATGTTGCTGCTTGTGGCACCGATGACACATGGATGATTGACATGAATTTTGAAGCAGCACAAAAAAGTGGGAATGACAGTCGTGGCAAAAAAGAAAAAAAAAGAAAAAGAAACTATTACAAGGGAATAATGGAAAGATCTGCTTTCATAGTGATGGGCCTTTTGGAATTGATTCACTGACATGGAGTGAAAGCGAATTGCAAACTAGTTTAAATAAGTGGGAATGAGGCCCAGGAGAACAGGTTGCTAGACAGTGACTTAAGTCAGTGGTAGTAGTGGGAAAAGAATGTAATGGAGAACTGTAGGTTGCAGAAGCAAAAGAAGAACAGTGTTCTTACACCTTTAATAGTTCTGTAGAAGAGGAAATATCACCAAGAAGTTACACTGGCTAAAAATTTGCTCTTCTGCAAAAATGTTAAAGGTGCAGGAACTATGATCTGTGACCACTTTTGAATTGACCATTGGAGTCTAAACCAGTGGTTCCCAACCTTTGGTACTCCATTTACTTTGGACTTCAGATCCCAGAAGCTCCAACCAATGTGGCCAATACTCAGTAATTATAGCAGCAGAAGTGCACAACATCTGGAGGAGCAAAGGTTGGGGGTCACTGGTACAAAGCCAAGATTGTTGAGTTCCTCCATCTCATTCCATTCTGTGCTCTCTCTCTCTCTCTTCTCCTTTATAGGGAGAGTTTAGGTTATATTCTTATATTGGGATTGGGGGGATGTTAGCTAATAACAAACTATTCAGTGGAACACTGAAGATTTACTGGATTATTACTGTACTACAGGCCCATCTCAGTTAACAAACCCTCTTACACAGAAGCTCCTTTTTACCAAGACATTTTATGCCTGCCCAGCTCCCCATTTTCTTCCTCATCCTTTTTCTAGTTGGAAGTTTTTAGCAGTGTCAGTATTGGGAGGATGGTGAAGGAAGGCAGAAGAAAACACAGACTTTCAGTGCCAGATTGCAGCAACTTGTCTGCAGTAAACAACTGAATAAAGCCTGAACTGTGAAAGAAAGTTGCCAATCCAATTCTAACTGTGTGAAAGAGGCAAGGCAAACAGCAGCTGCCTCCAGAATCCTTTATTGAGCATGCATGAACAGCAAAACAGAGAAAAGAAGGGAAAGCAGATTAGTCTGCTCCACCACCTGTCCCAGCATAAATCTGTAAGCGATCTTCCCACTGAAGTAGAAATCATTAAAAAAGTGAAGGTTGGTGAAAAGGAGGGTGAATCAAAACAGTTGCATTTTGGAAGAAGCTTTCATGTGGTTTTTAGAATGTTGAGAATGGTTTTGTTTATTTATGCAAGGCTTACCTGATTTAATTATTTAATTTCACATGTGTATTATTAGATCTGAATAAAGTTTGCTGAATCACGTTGAACTGCTCTGATAATAGTCTGGATGTTTTTCCCTGAGCCATACCACCATTTATTGAAAAAAATGTGGCTGCAAGTGTGTCTTACTCAATAATAGCTAGGTGAATACATACATACACTTTCTTTTTTTTAAGCAGTCTATTTGTCATACACAACATGATTTTTTTTATACAAAGTGTAATTTTGACTATTGGCAAGTGAATCCAACAACAACTCAAATATTCGTAAAGGCATGAAGGTTATGTTAATGAACTACGTGACTACAATAATGTGTTCATTTGATAGATGATATGCAAATATTAGTCTACTGAAGTTCACGGTGGCCTGGAGTAATAAACAGGGATGGAAAATGTACCTCATACATTTGATCCATGACTGAAAAACAAGCAACGAAGAAGAAGGAATCTGCGTGTACAAAAACTTAACAGAGCTGTATTTGGAGCCCATCAAAACATGGAGCTGTGGCTAAGCGTCTAGTTGCTAAGCAACCCACTTCAGACATTCAAAACATAGTTGTAAAAGTTGAACACTCATGCCAAAGGCTGCTACTTCTTGCCTTGTTGAAAAAATGGGTAAAAAAAAGAACAGTAGGCTTAAGAGAGAGAGAGAAAAGACCTATGCCCTATGAGATGTTTCTCCTCTGACAATTTTACCTTTAAACTCTTTTTCATGTTTCCCCATCTGCAAATGTAGACAGTGATTCATTCACTCTTTGAAGCTCCTTGATGAATATTCTAAGGACATTTCTTCATTCCTGAGCATCTTTTTTCCTTCCCATAGAGAAGGATAAACCCAATTTTTTTTTATTGAAGCAAACAGGTTCTGATATGCCACCACTGAATTAAAAATTCACAATTTAGATGTCAGATTATGCCACTCAATAGCTCAACTGATGTAAAAAAGAAGTAATGGTTTTGTTTCAATAAGGAAAGTATAGGCCAAGGCTATGTCAGAGCATTTTATCTGGGGCCTATTCCCACTACAGAATTATGCCACTGTTATTCCACTTTAACTGTCATGATTCTATCCTATGGAATATTTTGGTTTGTAGCTTGGTGAGGAACCGGAGCTTCCTGGTTGAGGATTTTACATGTCCCTTCCTAAACTGCCAATCCCAGGATTCCAAAGGATGGAACCATGGCAGTTAAAGTGGAATAATAGTGGTATAATTCTGCAGTTGGAATGGGCCCTGGCTGCTAGCAGCCCCTGTTAATGTTGTAAGGAAATATCAATGAACAAAAGGATTTCTGTTATATTGATAGCAGGTTGGGAACTGTATTGTGTTGGAGATCTTGGGGGCAGCAACTTCCATACTCCTCACCACTGACTGTGCTAGCTAGACCTATTGAAAATTACAGACAAAGACATTTGGAAAACCACAGGTTCGCCAACATAACAATCTGACATGGAAACCACTAGACACAACTGCATGTAAGTGCTAGTTACTCAATCCACATTTACCACCCACCTTCAATGCTTCCCAAATGATTTGGTGGGAGAACCAGTACATAAGAAACGTCACACTACATTAAATCATACAAATTCTCCATTACATGGCCATAAACAAAGCAAAGAAAGTACAGGGGTGTGCTCCCAAGGTCAGTTCAGGGTTTCCAACTGTCTGTGGACAGCTATCTTCTTCCCACCCTTCTAGGACTAAACAAATGACAAATAAGTTATGAGCATAAAATACATTTTAACTGCCAGCTTGAATAACACAATTCCCTGGAGAAATGTGCATACAGCTTATCATGCACATGATTTGTGCTCTATGTTGCTAATGAGCTATAAAACAATTTATATGCAAGTACACATGCTACCAATACAGGAAAAATCAATAAATTTAAAGGAGGAACATTGGAAGAAGTAGGTACATGACTCCTCCCACTTTGGTTGTATGAACTGCCTTTAAAACAGTGGTGGGAATAATGTGGCTCTCCAGATGCTGCTGAACTGCAGCTCCCAACATCCCGCGCTATTGACTAAGCTGGCTAGGATTCATGGGCATAGTTCAACACCATCTGGAGTACCATATGTTTGTTCCTAACTAACGTCAACAGAGCCAGGTTTGAACTTAATCCAGAAGCATTCATAGTTCTTTCGGTTACCAGTATCCAACTGATAGAGGACATGCACAATACCTGAAAAGAATATGGAAAAAATCCTACTCTCAACTTTTCTGCCATGTATGAGAATGGGACAGAGAGCAATTGGCCTTTTGGTCCAAGAAAAAGAGAATTATAAAACATATAACTATTTAAAAGATAACCATTTGAAGGACATTTTGTTCCTGTAAAGGACCTAGATAAAAATGTCTAGAACTGCTTGTGTTTCTAATTATCTGGGCTGAACATGAAGAACTTGGAGATGCTTTTCAGTACTTTATGTTTATGGTTCAAAATGAATGGCTTTAGACATCATCATCAACAACAAAAAAACATACAGGACATGTGCAGCACGACAGGAACATCAAGACTATTTCAAGTATTTAGAAGTGATAAACAGACTAGGTGTTGTTTTCCTCCTTACCCCTTTACTGGAGTAACTCATTCCACAAAACATCCCAAGCCTCCTATTTTCTGGCAGCCTTCTCTAGCGATGTAGCAGAGGAAGGGAACTCTAATGGAAAGTTGCATGTTTTTCTGAATCAAAGAGGGAAAAGTAGAAGATGGGGATATTTGTTTTGAGAAGTTTCTATTGCATAAACAGTGCCACATGTCCACAGGAGTCACACCTTCTTCACTGGTTCAACCAGTGCTTCTCAAGTATCATTCTGAACTCTCCAAAAAGCTGTGAAGATAACACTTACCAGTTTAGAACCCTAAAGGATTAAGAGACCAGTTTCCATCCTGTGGATAATGAGGCTTTGCAACTCCACTATTCACCTAACCTGGTGCACTACTTTTCTGCGGCTGTATTTACATGTGGTTTGAATTTATGTTCTCCTTTTTTGAACCACACATGTTGTGCCTCTCCAATTTTATTGCTACTTTCTTTTCATGCTGGAAATGCCATGTTAAATTACCAGAAACTAAGCAAAAGCTCCCTAAGGTCTACATCACACATTTTGTTCCTAACTAACATCAACAGAGCCAGGTCTGAACTTGAAGTCATCATAGTTCTTTTGGTTTCTAGTATCTAACTGATAGAGGATATGCACAATACCTAAAAAAAATATGGAAAAAACAAGAGTAATGCTCTATGGTCAGAGAACCAGTGTGACATAATGGTTTGGGTGTTGGACTAGGATTCTGGAGACCAGGGTTCAAATCTCTGCTCAGCCATAGAAATTCACTGGGTGATCTTGGGCAAGTCAGAATTTCTCATCCTCAAAGGAAGGCATAGGTAAACCCCCTCTGAACAAATCCCATGAAAAGTTCACCTTAGGATCACCATAAGTCAAAAAACGATGGTGACACCAAAACAAAAACACTCTCTGGTAAAGAGGCTTACTAACTTTTCTCTCTATTCATGGCTTACCTTATTATTCATGTTGGCTCAACTTTTCAACATGGATTTCAGTACTGGAATAAAATTTCAGTGCTGATACAAACAATGATTAACTAGAACTGTGTTAGGTTGTCTATGCAGATAAACATAATGCATCTCTGTTCAGCACTAACATCAAACTTAATAAATGAGAAATGCTTACTGGTCTGTAGCATTATCACATAGAAGTTGCACAATGAGATTCATCTACAATAAGACTTCCCTAAGTCCAAGCTTGAGAATGGCATAGTGGTTTGAGCACTGGACTACAATTATGGAAACCAGGGTTTGAATCCACATTCAGCCATGGAAACCCACTTGGGCAAATCACACTTCTCAGCCTCAGAGAAAGACAAAGTCAAACCCACTCAGAACAAATCTTGCCAAGAAAACTTTGTGATAGGTTTGCCTTAGAGTAGCCATAATTTAGGAACAACTTGAAGGCACACAACAACAGCAACAACCACCACAACAAAGGGTAGTTCAGGACAAACCTCAATCATGTAAAAGCCCTATGAGAAACTTATCAGGCTGAAGGCACTATGAGGACATGACCACTAATTAAGTCCCTTGTGAGAAATGCATAGCACACAAGTAACAAGGCTTTAGCTCACTACTACCAGGTGTCAGGGATGACTCTGGAAAATAAGAGTCAAAAGAGCAACTTTAATCTTGCTTAGTGGATCCTAAATAACCTAATGGAAGGGGAGTAATTCTTTTGAAATTTAGAAAGACAAAATTTAAGGACAGTTGCTGGAAAGTCACATAGCTAGAGTGTCTGCTAGCTCCTGATTTCGCTAAAATGTTAACAATTTCACTTCTGCAGCATCTCCCTGCAGAGCCCTGGTGCTTTTGCTTCTCACGGGCACATTAGGATGTTACATGGATCCACAAATCGGATGGTAGTGGGGATGGGGATGGGGTAGTGGTAGTGGTAAGGGTGGGTGGATGGGTCAATCCCCCTTAAAGTTAGGCTAGTAGACATAGTTGAGCCTCATGAAAAATGATCAATCAGAAGTGTACTAAAAGATAAAACATTAATATAATGAATGATAGTTGTTGAATCCTCCCAGGAATAACAAAGGCTGTCAGCAATTTGTCTGATGCACCCTTACTTGTGACTAAACTACACCGAACACATGGAGAGCAACTGTAACTACACATTGTGTCTGTAAGAGTGTTCACAATTATGGATGTTTGAATGATAATGAGGAAAAGCAAGTTACCCTCCTCCTACAAGTACTTGCAAATGTGCAAAATTAATAACACCCTGTTTGCAATGTTAAGCCCCCCACACACACCTTAAAAAGATTTCCAAGGTCCCCAGGATGATGAATGGCTTGGTCAATGAGTGCAGGCAGATATTGTACTTGAATACTCTAATTTTGAGTTTATTCAGAAGTTATGTTAAGTGTTCTAAGCACACAATAGGAGCTTGGATGGATCAGACCAAAGGTTCAACATCCCTTTCCCATAATGGTCAGGCAGGTGCTAAGAAGAAGATGAATCCAATATCACCCATCCATCAGATTGTCAGGCTGGATTGTCAGGTGTCAATGAAATTTGACATAATCCCACTTAATGGCTGGTGACAACTAATTAATGGTGGCAGTAGATTTCTTCAGTGACACCTCTGACAGTTTGTGAAGTCTTAGAGCATCTATAAGGAGAGGGGGCGAGTTGACATTCCAACTCAAAGACATAAGAAATGTAATCATAAATATTGGAGGGGAAGTCATACTGAGGATGGAGAAAGCTTGTTCTCTGCTGCTCCAGTGAATAGGACATGGATCAATAGATGCAAGCTACAGGAAAAGAGATTCCGCCTCAACATTGGGAGGAACACCCTGAAGCAGGGGTAGGCAACCTTTCCCCTTTAAGGGCCGAGGGACTTCAGCTCCCAGAAGCCTCAGCCATGTTGGCCAATAGTCCCATGTTGGCCAATAGCTCCTGGGATTCTGGGAGCTGAAGTCCCTCGGCCCTTAAAGGGGAAAGGTTGCCTACCCCTGACCAAATCCAACACACCTGCTGTGAGGCAGAAGGATGCTGCTGAAGGTGGAGGCCCAGAGCTCCCTCAGCCACGGCCTCCTCCCAACCCACCTACCTCCCGGGTGAAGAGGATGGCAGCATCATAATGTTCCTCATGCTCGTCGTCCAGCTGGTTATGCTGGTGCTGCCACTTGCAGAAGTTCTTGAGGGTGGTGGCCGCATTCTTGCTGACCTCCGGGCCCTTCTTCTCCTTGTCCCCCAGCAGCACCACCACCTTGACCACGGCCAGCCGGATGGGGTTCTCGATGCTGGCGTGGCCGTAGAGCCGGGAGGCGATGCTGGCCAGGGTCAAGAGGTAGTGATGGAGCCCCTGGCCGTACTTGTGGGCCATGGAGGCGTCGGCCACCAGGAGCAGCTCCACCTGCCGGGCCCTGGAGACGGAGCGCCGCCCCCGCCGCCTCTGGGGCTCAGGGGAGAAGAGGCGAGGCGAGAGCGCCGCCCTGGTGGCCAGCGCCCTCTCCAGCCCCGCTCCCTCGGCCGCCAGCAAAGCGGGCCCGGAGGGAGCCTCGCGAGTCTCGCAGCTGGGCCGCGAAGGCAGCGTCTCGAAGCTGAAGTGCTCCCTGAAGAAGAGGTGCAGCACCCGGGCAGAGCCGTCCCCGTAGATCCGCTCCGGCTCGTCCTCCTCGCCCTTCCCGGGCCTCAGCCAAGGCTGGACGGTGTAGCGGGCGTGCTTGACCGCGAAGTAGCCCTCCAAGCCGCCGCAGAGGTCGAAGACGGCCAGGGACTGGGGGCTCCCGTCCACCGTGCCCCGGTAGTAGCAGCGCCCCTTCTCCTTCTCCCTCCCCTTCTCCTTCTCCCTCCTCTTCCTCCTCCTCCTCCTCCTCCTCCTCCTCTTCCTCCCTCTCCGTCTCTCCTCCTCCTCCTCCTCCTCCTCCTCCTCCTCCTCCTCCTCTTCGGAGCCCAGGAGCCCGTCCTCCTCCAGGTCGAGGAGGAAGCGCTGCCCGGCGGCGTAGAGCAGGTAGCCCACCTTGCCCCCGCCGGCGTAGGTCCGGTCCACGCTCTCCACCACCCCGGCGCCCGGCGGCAGGAGCAGCGGAGGCCGCCAAGGCGAGGAGGCAGGTGCCGGAGGGGCCCACGGGGAGACCGCGCCGCCGGCGGAGGAAGAAGAAGCGGAGGCTTGCAAGGTGGCAGCCAGAGGCAGAAGCAGGGAAGCCAACCTGGGCAGCATGGCGGGGACCGGGCAGGGAGGTCAGAAAAGGGGCGCCTTGGCGGGTCTCCCCTCAGGAGTTACCTCAGAGGAAGCAGGGAGGATGGAGGGGCAAGGGTCCTCCAGAAGAAACCTACCGCCTCCCTCTTCTCTCTCTCT